CCAAATTAACAAAATCAGAAATAAAAAGGAGGACACAACAACAGACAAGAAGGAAATCTAGAGAATCATTAGGTCATACTACAAAATTCTGTTCTCCAAAAAATTGGAAAATATAAAAGAAATGGGCAATTTTCTGGATAGATTCTACAAACTAAAATTAAATCAAGACCAGATGAGCAATTGAAACAGACCTATAAGGAAATAGCAGTCATCAAAAGTCTCCCAACCAAAAAAGCCCAGGGCCTGATGGGCTTAGCGCAGAATTCTACCAGAACTTCAAATAAGAGCTAATACGTACACTCCTCAAAGTGTTCCACACAAAGGAAACAGAAGGATCATTGCCAAACTCTTTCTATGAGGCTACAGTTATCCTGATACCCAAACCACATGAAGACTCAACTAAGAAAGAGAATTACAGACCAATCTCCCTCATGAATATTGATGCAAAAATACTCAATAAAATACTGACAAACCGAATTCAAGAACACATAAAAAAAATCATCCACCATGATCAAGTAGGCTTCATCCCAGAGATACAGAGATGATACACCATACGAAAATCTGTCAATGTAATCCACCATATAAATAAACTGAAAGAAAAAATTAAAACATATGATCATGTCATTAGATGATGAAAAAGTCTTTCACAAAATCCAACATCCCTTCATGATAAAGGTCTTGGAGAGAGCAGGGATACAAGGAACGCATCTAAGTATAATAAAAGCAATATACAGCAAGCTGACAGCCAACATCAAATTAAATGGAAAGAAACTGAAAGCGATTCCACTAAAATCAGGAACAAGACAAGGCTGTCCACTCTCTCCATCTCTTTACCATAGTTCTTGAAGTTCTAGCAAGAACAATAAGACAAAAAAAGGAGATCAAGGGGATACAAATTAGAAAGGAAGAAGTCAAACTGTCACTATTTGCAGATGATATTATAGTATACATAATACCTTCAGCAATGTGGCAGGATACAAAACCAACCTTCTATATACAAGTGACAAAAGGTCTGAGAAAGAAATCAGAGAAAATCACCATTCACAATAGCCATAAAAAACATAAAATATCTTGGGGTGATGCTAACCTGTTCGACAAAGTGAAAGACCTGTTCTACAAGAACTTTAAATCTTTGAAGAAAGTAATGAAGAAGATAACAGAAAATTGAAAGACCTCCCATTCTCTTGGATAGGTAGGATCAACATAATAAAAATGACAATCCTACCAAATGCAATCTATAGATTCAATGCAACGCCCATAAAATCCCAACACGATTCTTCAGAGACCTTGAAAGAACAATACTCCACTTCATATGGAAAAGCAAAAATCCCAGGAGAGCCAAAACAATCTTATGTAGACAGTTTCAATTCAGTAAAAACTGCACTAGGATGCTTCAAAATCCAGCAGCAAGGATTATGTAACTCTTGACGAGGATGCTTGGGATTGACCTCAATCTGGTCACACAAAGAAAGCAGTATCTAAAATGATGTTGCTCTCCAATGTTGCATCTGAGTTTGCAGTGGATATGATCTTCTATAGGCTTCTTAGCGCTTATAGAGAACTCCAAGAAAGCCCAATTTTAGGACAAAGATGAAAATTCTTAATCTTGATCTGAAGTCCACTGGACCCTAATTCATTCACAATCAGCTTACACCTACTCAGGTATCTCTGAAGACTGGTGCCTTCCAGCATTCTAGCCCATAATGGCTGGTAGGGGAAACAGTGCTTTGGACAATTCACCCTCATTGCTGTTAAATGTTTTGCTGGAATTCAGTAAGTACGAGCTCATACTAATGAGATAGCTAAAACTAAGTTGCCTTTGGTTATATGGTAGGACCACAGCCAGTCCTTCCATGTCTTTGACAAAGAGTACCACTGAATTATTTTTAATTTATTAAAGCTATGAAATACATACTTGCTCTCTCCATGAATCTCTACCTCCTCAACAGTCACTATATAGTTCTAGCACATGAAGATTTTCATCTCATCTCCTTCTATTACATACTAGGTTCCTTTACAGCAAGGAACTGTAATATCAGTGTTCACATGTTTGGGGCTTCTCACAATGCGTAGTATAAGGTAAACTATTAAATGTTAGTTGAAGGAATTAAGATGACCCTGGGAGCTAAAAAGATGGTTCACTGGGTAAAATGTTTGCTGTGCAAGCATGAATTTGAGTTCAGCCTCCCAGCATCCATATAAAAAATCAGAAGCAGCAGTGCAAGCCTGTAATCCCAGTGTTTGGGGGCCAGAGACAGCAGATTCCTGGTGCTCACTGACCAGTCAGACTGCTAAATCTGTATACTTCAGGTACACACACACACACACACACGATAGAGTCTGTCTCAAAAATAAGGTAGAGCATGATGGATGAAGATACCTGACAACAATTTCTGCCTCCTACATATATGCTGTGCACATGAAGGAGCATCCATATACACAAACATGTACTAAAGAGGAGGAAAAAGAGACGAAAGAGGAGGAGATGTCACTGTTGTCTCCATATTCTTGTTTACTTATAGCACTGAGGGGAAAATCCACCTCGGCTATAGAAACCAAGTTAAGATTCTAAAGAGAAGATCAGCCAGACTAAAACTTAAACTTGCTTTTTTTCCCTTTCACATACTTTTAAAATAACAATATATCTACATTAAAAGAAAACTTAGCTTTATTGTTAAATAAAAAGTAGCTACAATAACTATGTTTGAAGGAGTCACTGCAGAAGATTTAGAAAAAGCACCAAATCCTTAAGAACTTAATGAGAAAAAAAAAGCATGAACAGCAATTAACTAACACGAAAAACACAAGCTACAAACCAGTAAAAACTGCTCTCTCTAGACATTCTTTTCCTACAAAATTAGTGAAGCTTTAACAAAATAGCAATTCAGAAATCAACGTAGTCAAAGGTACTCACACACACTATCTTGGGGAGAGGATGTGAACATGGCTCTAGGGCAAAAAAACCTTAAAAAGGTTACCCCCCAAATACATGTGAGACAAGCATACATATGCACATGTATGTAGATGTAAACTAAAATATCTTCACATTTTCTTACATATTTCCTTAAAATACACTATAAGAAACCTGTATTGATGAGAATTTACACAGTATCATTTAGACATTAAGAGCAGTACTCTCTACCACTAATCACATGTCCTTAACAACCCACTATAGTTCTGGGCTTTCTGGCCACTGGGAAACCGTGATTAAATGCTGCTGCTGCTGCTGCTGCTGAAAATGATGCAGTTATTTTACAGCTTGGTATAAAAATTAGAGTATGTACCATAGTTTAAAACAGTGCCTGGTATAGAGAAAACTCAACAAATTTTTAAATGCTTTACAGGTAATAAATTTGGCAGCAGTCTAATGTTTAATGAAAGGCTGTTTTAATGATAATATATTATTATATATTATATAACGTTAAATGACAGATTAGTGTTTTAAATAATATTATATATTATAGTACTGAATGACAGGATTTCTTATAAGATTATAGTAAATCTATACAATGCCATACTATTAGTCACTAAAATGTTATTTGCAAATAATTTTTAATATTGGAGAAATGCTTGAGATAAAAGTGAAAAGGCATGATATAAAAATGATTTCAATTATGTAAAATATATAATTATTTTAAAAAATATCTAGCAGAAGGCACCTCAAATACTAAGATGTTCAGATAGCAGAATTTGACCTGCAGGCTGTGGTTTTCTTCTTCATCCTTCTCTACCAGTAATCTTTTTCTTTTTTCCCAAAAGGAAAAACCAGGAAAACACTATAATATTGAAAGGCTAGAGTAAAGCGACAAATGTATGTAAAACTTATAGAAATGCCCAACATTTTATGTGTGATGTAATACAGAAATGACTGTGGTTTTCCAAAACTCAATTCTTTTCTCAATTTCCAAATACTGTTATTGGGGCAATAAATATCACAACACGCAACAGTGAATATCCCTTGGTCGGATCTGTTTATAAATGTGTAATCCAGTGTGCACAATGTACTCCTTTCCTAAAACCACCCACACTCTTGGGCCAATCTCAAGTCTCTACCAGGTTCTGACCTAGAATGTCCTATCAGCAATCTTGCAGATCAAGCCTTCTACCAGCACACACCATGCTCCAGTAGTTTTGACCTTTTCTATCCAACAAACCAAAAAGCTCTTATCTCTGCTGCAATTATCAATGAGAACTCCTGTCCAGTCAAGAGAAAGACAAAGCAACTCTATTCACTCCGAGAGCTTCCAGAACTTTCTAATTCTTTGAACTCTTTCTGTAGAGCTCCAGAGCTATTTCTGAACTCCATCTTTCATATCACCTTGCCTTATCTGCAGCCAACATCTGTTCCTAGGAGCTGATATGTAACCATGTAAGCATCAGCCTCTGAGGATACCATTTAAGATGCTGACAATGTTACCAACAGGACCAATGGAAATAATCACATGCCACAGGAGATCATGATATTCAGCTTCTTAACAAAGCATTCCTTTTATCCAAACCTCAGAAGAACTCCTCACTTATCTACTAGCATCCCCATATATACAGCACTGAGTTAGGTATTATATTAGCCATGGCCAAAAACATTCTAGTTAACATGTTGAGATTTCACCCAACCACACATCCTCATTGCATTTCCAGGTAATTCTGACTGAGGTTGTAAGAGCTGAGAAAGAGGAAACTGAAGATGTTCACGTGCGGTTGTTTGATGTGACACTGCTCTCAGGCTAGGCTATCATCTGGCCAATTTCACACTTTACAAACTGATACAACGCAATCTAAATGCACCATAAATATATATTTGTTAATCTTGATATTAGAACATTTAAACATTTCAAACTACATAAAAATATGACAAACAATATAAAACAAAGAAATTTGTTGACAACGTAATTCCAAAACATCACTATTATATTGCAATTAAGCAACAGGACAGCTTACATAGCTCTTCAAAAAACAGTGTTTTTACTGGAGTGTTATCAACAAAAATCAGCACAATCCCACACAATAATGTCTCCAATTTATTATCGTTTCCACAGTACAAATTTTTCAAACCATAAATCCTTTGCATTTATTCAAAGTCTGTAAACAAGTGCCTGACTCTCCACCCCACCTCAGTTTAAGCATGTGAATGTTTTAAGTCCTTCGATCAAGTTTTAACTCTTCCACTTGTATAAGGAATCAAGAGCCTTCTCTCTTAACATTATTTATATTTTATCATACAGCCTGCAGTGCAGTAAATCACAGTGAAAGCCCTGGGGAAAACAAAACAACATGATCTTTACAGCAGGACTTGAAACTTTATAATAATAAATGCATTTGAAGAAGCGTCCCATAATAAAAGTGTGGGTTTTCATTTCCAGAAAGCAAGTCAATTAGAAACTCTAGTTTCTACTTAAAAACCCATTTTGATCTAAAAGTGAAAACAGTCCCCTATCCACAGTCATTTTATAAACTCTATACAGTTTTACTTGCAGAGATTTTTTTTCCAGTCTGGAAAACAGTAGTGCAATTAGTTTTACTTCTTTTAAGTTATTTAGTCCATGATGGAAACAGCTCTGTGGAAAGATAAGAAGATATTCTGGTAAACAAGAAATTTTTGCAAGCCCATGCTGGCTTACAGTCCATTAAAGCTTGTAAGTCCATAGCGGCTTTCAACAGAATGCTGTGTATACATCACTAACATCAATGCAGAAATAAATAGGTGGAAATGACTGTCAAGTGTCTCCTCTCGATGACTCTTGGGTAATGTCTGACTTGAACTGAAGGTGTAGTTTGTTACAGCAGACAGTAGACAGCTGTCCCTAAGGACATTTCCACTATGGTATCAACTCTGGAAAGCCCCAATGGAGTTACATTCCTAAAATTAAAATGAAAACGGAGTGGAGGGTGGGAGATAAAGTTCACAGATGCCACTTGAATGGAATTCCATCAAGTCGTTGAGTCACTTAGACTTCTTCTTGAAAAGGCTTTTGATTTTTGATGGCTTTTTGCTTTTCTCGCCATTATGACAAAGGTCATGTGGGATGCTGCTTATTCTGGAAACATTCGAGACTTCCTGAACTGGCTTGCTGTCATTGCCAGTTGAGGAACATGATGTGTGTCGAGGTTTAGGCACCGGGATGCCACTAGAAAGTTGGTTCATGCTACAGGATTTCTCCAAGATGCCATTGTACACTTTGCTGGCAGGACTGAAGATCATGCTCTTGGTTTCTGTCAGACCCACACACTCAGGGGAGCCCCGGGAGACATCTGCTGTTACTGGCGAATCCCCCCGGGAGGAATCCTCCAGGGAAAGCTCATCTCTTGATATCTTTCGAGAAGACAATGTTTGGTATATCTCAAGGCTTGAAGGAGGAGACTGCTTCCTCCCAATGGAGGAGTTTAAGGAGTCACACTCTGAAGCTGTGTCCTGTACTTCCCTGAAGAAGACAAAGGGAGAGCGCTTAGATCAAGATGTTCATAAGAGTAACAGTGAACATTCTAGTCAAATCAACTTCCATTCACTACTCATCCAATTACTAAAGGAGATATGCTATACTTATATGTAGAGATAAAATTGAGAACTTTTCTTGTACTATAGCATATTATTTCCATGTGCATATGTGTGTGTGACAAAGAAAGAAAGAGAGAGGGAGAGAGAGAGAGAGAGAGAGAGAGAGAGAGAGAAGAGACAAACATACACACAGAGACATATATATGTATTTGTGTAGATATCTGCATGTGTGCATGTGTGCATGTGTGGACTACAGACCAACATGGAGCATCTTCCTTGATTGCCATCCATGTTATTTTTGGAGACAAGGTCTCTCACCAAATCTGGAACTCATTAATTCAGGTGGGCTGACTGGCGAATACACTAGAGATCAGCTTGCTCCCATCTCTATCCTGCTGGAGTTAGACAAGTGTGGCATGTACCTTGCATTTACACAAGTTACAGGGACCCAAACTCAGCTTCTAATGTTCATTAGCAGACACTGCATGCATTGTCTGATCCTCTCCCTAGCCCCAAACTTGTTTAGTTTTGAGATAAATGGTAACAATCAAACAACATAATTGAATTAAGTTATGCCTTCTTTAACTATCAGGGAAATGAAAACATTTGAATTTTGAGCTTTCCTAAGCCCTTCTGACTTTTGCTTTCCTTCAATACTCGTTTTCCTTCTGAATCACAGAACTGCCAGTATATGTTTGAAAGACGGAGCTTTAATCATTATTTTAGTGTTTAGTTATGACCTTGAGGAAATATAACTTTCTGAGGAAGTAAAATATGAACACAGCACTAAAATAAAAGCTCTACCAAGTTTCGTAGAGACAATCTGATAAGATACACTGGAACGGATAGGAGATAAAAGGCAAACATATGATGCTATTTTTCAAGAAGGGACATTGAGTAAGTTTTTACAAAATAATCTGTGAATGTTTCCCCCACTTTGTCTATAGTAGAAAAGAAGATAAATAAAACAGAACACTAAAGTTCGTAAGAGTCACCGTCAAGACTACTAGCCTCCTCTGAAATATCACAAAGCCATGGTCTTTTTAGAACCACCACAAACTTGTCCTAAGTGACTCCATGACTTCCTCATTAGTTTCTCTGCTTCTATTCCAGTGCATCCCTTTCAGCAACTTTTCTATACAGCCACTGAAATAACTCAAAAAGCTCAGTCACCACATGTCACTCACTTGCTCATGACTTTTCACTGTGCTCCCTCAGATAGAATCCAAAGGCTCTGCACATCTATCAAGCCCTTGGCTATCTGTCCAATCACACTCTCTCCCTCTGTTCCAGAATACCCTTACTATTCCTTCAACACACCAATCTGCAGACTTCCTCAGGACTCTGCACTGTTTCCTCTGCTGGAATATAATCCTCCCACTGCTCTTTGACTGGCTTCTTCCTGTCCTTTAGGTAACTACTACCCACCCAGAGAGGCCTTCCCTAACCGTCCTATATAAAATTATACAATGGCATTTCCTTTGCTTATCATCTATCATCGCCGAGTAGCAAAAATGGTATTTTCTACTAACTTCAAAAGAAAAAGCCCTATTAAGAGTAGGAGATCTTATTAACAATTGTATTCTCTGCGTTGTAATTCATGGCAACCCCACAGTGAGATCAATAAACATGTACTGAATGAAGAACGAATGAAATCCTGAAGAGGAACTATTTCTAATTGGCTTCTGCATGCACTTAGCAGAACTCCATTAAAGAGTTCTTTAAAAACAAAAGAAAAAGTCAAGGTAAAATTGAGGAAACAAAGTCAGAAAAGAATAGGGCTAAAGACAGAACAGCAAAGTAAAACCTCACAGGATAATGATCTTCCAGCTGAAGCTAGTCTAGGGTCATCTTAGTTGCCTAGGGAGCTCAAGGTATCAAGTACACAAGACACAGCAAGAACTAAACTCATATTTATAGAATTAAACAATCTCTTACAGTGACTGGTCTATGACTACTACCATTTTCATATTTATACTTGCTTATTTCTGACAATTACTCAATTGTCAGAATTATTTCAATTACTTTAGATATATAATAGATTGCTGAACTTACATATTTTTATTTTACTCATACCATATATGTAAAGAGTATATTGCATGTATGTACATTTATTTATGCTATATATATGTATACAAGTCCATGGCTCAAATGTGGAGGTCAGAAAGCAGCTTACAGGACTTGGTTCTTTATCCACAGTGTGGATCCTGGGAAGTGAATCAAGGTAACCAGGCTAGGCAGCAAGTGTCTTTACCTACTGAACTATCTTGCTAACCTTAAAGATTTTCTTCATACAAGCTTCCTTAGGAAAAATTATTTCCTAGCATTATCTCCTAGCCTCATAAAGGTGTAATGTGAAAAAAAAAAAACCACCAAACTCAGGAGACGTGACTCCTCCCTCCTCCCCTAGTCCTGTTTTTTTCAGTTGTCAACCTCACACAAATCATCTATTTTTTCTAGGTCTCAATTTTCTTATATGCTAAAGTAAGAGACTTTAATTTGTCTTTAATGTTCTATCTACTTCTACCATTCTAATTCAAAAATGAGCAATGATCAAATATATTGCTTCTTCCATACAACTGATCAGATCTGTACCAATTAAAAATAATGTATTTTTAAATGCATATTATTTGTAGCACATGTTTCCTTTGGAATTAAACTTAATCATATGCACCATTTACATGAATTTTTAAAATCATTTTCCCTGTGGTAACATGTAAACAAGCACATATATGTTTTATGAAAAGATAAGTGTTTAAAAAGATAAAGAAGAAGACAACCGTGGGTGAGAGCTAGCTGAGTGTGCATGTATATACTCTCCACAGCAGACAGCCATCATGGATAAAGCAGCCCAGGTGTTCTCTGAGGTCAGATTCCTCTCATACTTATGAGGCAGCTGTGAAGTTTTGACACGGCATGTGAAACAAGAGCTTAGCATTCCCATGGTGGAAAGGTTCTGTGGGACAGGACAGCTCCCCACCACTTTCCAGAAGCCACAGAAAAATGATGTGAGAGTGAAGTCACATTGTTTGTGGCTGTGCTTATACTAAAACGACACATAAAATGCTAATTATAACAGGCTCCTCGGGGAAAGAAGCATCGAATTCTCTACTGGAAACTGCTAACCCTAATTATTTCCTTAGGAACAAGCCTCAGAGATTATCTACTAATTAAAAAATAACTTTTACTAGGCAGCGAAATGATGAGTGAAAAGTGATCTGATGGTAATATCACCATGTGATAGCTAAGAACCACCCTGACCACCATGATCAGTCCTGATACATGGCAAAATCAGAAACTAATAGTAGTTTTTCTGTCACAAGCAGTACTCCACTTGAGAAGAGGAATACTGCTTAGAAGTGAGCTCCCCGCAGTAACAGACCTCACGGTGTGCTGGTGCCCTTGAGACAGATTGGAATGCATGCAGCTATACTCACTGTAGCAAAGAAATGAAGTAATGAATTTAATTTAATTTTATCATTCTCTCCATTAAGCTCTCAACATCTTCCGAGCACTGAGATGACGACACTGCCTACATGCTAGTAAGCAACAAATTATTTTGAAATTTCACTCATATTGATGTCTCTTTATATGGGGGTATACTCAAGTCCAAGATGTCATATTTTACATACATATTTTCACTCGACAAGTCTATGGTTGGAGACCCGAGCCAACTGCATTTGTTAGTATCAGTGCAGTTACACCTCAAAAGGCTCTGACAGCCCAGTGACAAGAGGGCTCCCCACTGGGTTCTGGGACTTCACAGGTCTCCCCGGGGTCCAAAGGCCCCAGAGTCACTGATATTCATAAAGATTATTATTCAGGCAAGCTGCTCAGCAAAGGCAGAAAATATACAAGGCAAGTGTCTGCTACCAGCATTAAATATTAGGTCACTCAATAAGGACAGGTGGATGGTCTTTAGAAACTGAAAGCAACCAGATCCTGTGCTTAGAACAACACAGAAACAAGACCTTAGCAAGATACCCACAAACACATGAGACTCAGAGGGCACTCCAGATTCCACACAAGAAAGAACTCAGGCCAGCTGGTACCTTGACTTTAGCCTCCGATACCCTGAGCAGGAAACCCAGTCAGCCTAGACTTGCACTTCAGATGTACAGAACTTGAGTGTCCATAAATAGGTGTCATGTGAAGCCACCGAGTCTGTGAAGGCTTGTGTAACCACAGAATACACTGCAGCACTGCTGCCACTAACATACCCACTTAGCCCCATCCTCTGCAGTTATTAATAGCCAATACCATTGTTTTTCAGCAGTGAAGTAAATGGCCTCCTCCTCCTCTTCGTTCCGATACAGAGCAGGGCAACTCGACACAGACAGGATGTCTGGATCTGGGGAAGGTAATGAGTGCTGGGAATGCTGGGGATGGTGAGGATGCCGAGGGTGGGCTACCAGAGGAGCATGGGGAGGAAGCTGAGCTCGCTGGGACTGTGGGGAGGATGGCACAACGCTGCGACGAGAGCGGCATAAACTACTGCTCCGGGCTAAAGACCCAGCAGGTTTAGGCACGGTCCCTGAAAAACATAAGCAAATGGAAACACTCATAACCACCAATGTCCCTTGCCCCTTGTCCCTTAGCTGTCTTCTTACAAATATGTACACAAGAACTAATACAGTAAAATATCATATTTAATTTTTATTCATGTAACTATATAACAACTGCCATTCTCTACCACCTATGAAAAAGTTAAAGAACAATTAATGCAAATATAATAAAAATGACAACAGGTAAAACTAAAATAAAATGCACACTAATATAGTCTTACTGTAAAAATCTAATACTACTAAAAACAGAGTTTAAAAACTTTATTCAAAGTAACATTTAAATTTAAAATTAACATAGTCTCTTTATAAGGAATAATAACCTATTTATGAATACTATACTGAAGCAGAAGGAAAAAACAGTATAAAGTATCAATGGATAGTCTTTGATATATCACATGTTTGACCTTTAAGAAGGTTTAAATAAAGATTGTACAGACAGTCTCTCAGCTGAAACCAAAGCTTGCTTCCTAAACACAGATCCTCAAGGACTAAGTCTCTGTCTTCGATCTCCCTGTGTTTACCACAAGCTCGACACTTGCATGTGGAGTAAACAGATTCACTCAGATTCTTTTCCTATGCTGAAGCTGCCCAAGAGCACCTTTGAGCACGTGACATTCCTCAGTGACACAGCACCAGGACAGAAGGTGCTGGCTGGCATACTTTATGCCTGCACCCTTTATAAAATGGGTTCTTTCTGAAGCTCATGCTAATAATCGAATCCTCACACTGCACGCCAATGCTTCTTCCCTGTCAGTCATTCTTGCTCTAGCCAAACCACCCACTCATCCATAATGTGAATCATTTCACTTCTAAGACTCACTGACCCTTGACTAATCAAAAGAGTTTTGACCTCTTCTTTGCCTTCCTGTCTATTCTGATATCTTGACTTGTCAATCATATTATGATGAACCACAGAACAAGAAATGAAACAATTCTCCTAGTATCAGAAATTATATATTATCTAAACAGAAACTCTTACAATTTGATTGAAGACAAACTTCTCACCAACAACCTCAAAGCACAATGGAGAAAATAACGAATCAAATTGATCTATACCTGTTACCTAGTTAAACTATTATTTCCCAGGAAAAGTTAAACAGACACTTGCTGCCAAAGACAGAATTTCTCACTTCTAATTTGCTTAACAAAATACAATCAATATTATGCTTCCAAGAAAGAACAAAAATGAGGAAAGAAAAGTAAAAAAATAATAATAAACAGAGAAGTATATTTAAATTAAGGTCAAAAAGATAACAAAAGTAAAGATTCTGAGTGACAAGCGCACACCAGAGGGCACTAATATGCAAATGGTGAGTCACTGAAGTTCAAGTTATGGGGCAGCCTAGTTGTTAGAGGGGAGAGAAGGCAGAGGGGAGAGGAGAAGAGTGTAAAAAAAGCACAATTGAGAGTCCTGGGGTAAAATAGATCAACAAGCAGGTTAAATATCTGCATTAAATATCCCAAAATATAAAGGAAACAATACCACACAATTCCCAAACTTACTTCTGGGGGAGGAGTAGTAATTCTATGCTCTATTCTTCTACTCACAATAAAGGCTATTAATTATCAGTTTCTGGATTTTCCTCACTTAGAATTATAAAGAGCATTATTCACGTATTAGAATCTTTTACTTTGCTCTTTTCATACAACAAGCATACTTCCTGAAATAATAATTTCAAACACAACTAACACATAATACAATCTAAATGAAGCACCTTCTTCCTACCTTAGAGGCCATTCTTATGGCATCTGGTAAACACAGCCTTTGTTTTTACAAGGTCCAGAAATTAGGAGTTTGTAACAAAGCAAACTGGAGTACCACCGTGTGGCCACTAGGTGGAGACACAGCCCTCTACACTTATGAGCAATCAGATTAATTTCTAAAACTTTCTGTTAAATTTCAAACCAGCTCCCATATTTTTTCAAATTTATAAGTATAAATGTCCACATAAAATATCACATTATTTAAAACATATGCCAATTATTCACACTTAGTATAAGTATTTTCTTTTAATGAAACAAAAACAACAAAAGTTTTGCCACGTCAAAATTCCCAAGTGTTTCTAGAACAGGCAATAACAACAAAATTTTTAATAATTAATAGTGGATCATCCTCAAGTACAATTCTTATTCATAACAATTACATATTTTAAAGAAAAGCTATTTTTAACAGGTTTAGTATTTAAATAAATGCATGTATTTACTTATGAATCAGTGTTATATAAGGGCATATATTCATACAAATAAACAAATAAATAAAATAAAATAATTCAAATCACAAGTCAGCTTAAATATAGATGAGCTGCAACTATCAACACCTCGCAGCCCCAACTGTTCCTCTCCCTGGCTTTGCTCTAAGAATGACTACCGCTTCCTCCCTTCACTGCACCATAAACAGAATCTAAGGCAGAGAAATGGCAGAAGCATGGTCACTGGCTGAGAGTTAGCTGAGAAATCAAAGTTTGGTTTGGTAGCAAGTGTTTTACTAAGTCAGAACTGTTCCAGCAGCTTCAGGAAAGCTGTAACAGTTAAATAGAAAAAGTCAACACTAAACTACGCAGACAAGATGACTCGATTGCTCTCAAAAACTAAAGTTTTAAGTTTTCAGCTAAGCAAGGACTAAACTAACACACTTCTCCATTTTTCAGAACTTTGTTCTATTGACACTGTAAAAAGTCCCAAATACTGGGAAAATGGACGAGGCAAGAAATAATAAGAATAAAGAAATTTTCAAACAATTTCTAATATAAAAATGCAAATTAAAAACATTTGTAACTTTGCAGAAAAGCCAAAAGTTAAAGCATTCAAATTTTATCTTACCAAAATGTTTTTTCATAAAGTAAAACTCAAAAACATAACATACAACTAAGCAATCTAATACACACAAAAGCTTCCTTTGGAAAGAGCTACATTCTAGCAAAGAAACATGCTTGCACACATATAAATAATCCTAATACTCAGAGGGGTAAGGCTGGATGGAGATCACCCTGGGTCATCTTAAAACAACTAGAAAACATCGTACTTATTTAAATTATACGTAACGTCTTACATAAACAGATATACATATCACATCTAACTTTTATAAACAAGCACGGTTTTTGTTAAAGGCAAATAAATTCAGTACTTCTTGAGATAAACAGAGCAGGGTATTACTACTAATAAAAGAACACATTGAAAAACAAAACAAAACTAGTTACAAAAAAAGTCTTGGGAATGGAACAAATCGTAAGCTGACCGAAGAGTCAAGAGCTGACTATAGTAGAGTTAGCACTCAAACCCAGGCTTCCAAAACCTTGCCTTACTCTTTCTTTCTGCTGTAGTTTTCCATCCAGTTTAGCATTTCATTTATATAACCACTAGCAGTCATACGTTGTATCCATCCCTTTTATGTAATTCTCCCATTTCAATGTAATGATTAGTAATGGTTTAAAAGCAAAATCCTACAATGAGTTCTATATGACAACTACTGAAATATAAATATGTGCTAAAATATGCAAATTAATCAACTATTCATGCTTCTTGATAAGGTGTATTTCTAAAATAGAATACATACCACATATAGAACGAATACATATAAGAATATATGGTACTCTCAAAGAGTAAAATAAATATTAAAAAGAAACAAAGAAGTGTTCATTTCCCCCATAGACTTCAAAGTACATCATTCCTTAAAAGGGCATGTTAGGAACTTCTTTGCTGAACTCACATACATACCTGGAAACTGTGACACTATTGGGGGTGTGTCTTCATCTAAGTCATCCACTCCTCCAGCAATAGGGTAGGGTGGAATGGAAACTCTAGGCATCACCACCCAACTGTGGTCAGAGTACAGAGAGGAGGTAAGACTGGGGAGCCCAGAGTTGTGAGCTATCTGAAAGCCACAGATCTTCTCAATCTGCTGCCAGCGAAAAAGGCGTTCTCGCAAACACGTTGTCAGCTCAGAGAGTGCTTTCCTGAAAGGTCAATAGATAAATTACTTACTGTACTGAAGTCTTGAATATGACATTGAAATAAAGGCAATGAAAGGACCCATGGAAATTGGCTGATCTCAAGAAAAAATTATCCAGTTTCAGAATTAGTATAAGTTATGCCACTGTGTATGCATCTCTAATTAAATATACATTTTCTAAATAATACACGGCTCAACACTGTAGATGGACAGACAGACTGGTAGAGAGCATTCTCACTTGGCTTCCAGAATCTTGTGGTCTACTTCATCCAGGGAGGAGCTATGTGCAACATGCAGGGTCCCAAAGACTGTGCTTCTCTTCTTTTTAATTTTTTCTGCCTGAAAACCCAAAAGGTTAAAAATGAAGTTAGGTTTAGGAAAATGACTACTTACATACTAATAAAGTTGATTTTGGTTTTGACTGTATTAATAATCATAAAACCAGTAGAAAGTTATTAGCCAAGATACAGACATTATTTTCAAAATAAGAAAACAGATAAGAAAGAAAGCATGCTTTCCTAAGTCAAAGACACTTAAAGCTTTGTTCTAGAGTACTGTTTTTCTTATTTCTATAGCTGAGAAAAAACAGAATCTTCTATTAGAACTAATAAAAAAAACATTAACCAAACCCTATTGCAATGAAGGTTAGTGAGAACTATGCATTTTTTCCAGAATTCAGATTAAGGCTTACTCTTATTCCACACAATTTAATAACAGCAAACACAAGTTTCTAGGGACTACTAACCTGCATCAGATAGGAGGCAGCAACCTGGAGGAGAAAAGCTCTGTATAAAACGTTTACAATAGTGACAGCAACGACAATTTCTCAAGGACACTAAGGTAATTTTGAAAGCTATACATGTACTTCTCTATAGAGAATAATTTTACTTTAAATTATATAATTACAAGAATTAATTTACATGGCAAGCTCTAATTTTAAAAACAGAACCTTCGAGAAGGTTTGTACTGAGGTTTTTGTATTCCAATTAATCATGAAATCAGATAATACCTCGTCCTTAGCAATGGCTAGCTGCATCTCAGCATTCTGTCTCTTAATATTGTAGTACTGCACTTCAACTTCATGTGTCAGTTGAAGCCATTTCTGCAGCGCATCGGGAACAGACCAGCTGCTTCTCATCTCAAACTCCTTTTCAGCCTTTTTCAGAGCCATGCGGACCTGGAAGAACAAAAGGAAAAAAACACAAAGGAAGAAAAGACTGAAATAAATGTTGATACCAAAACAGAAAAACCAATTCAATTACGGATTTTACAAAAACCTTTTAAAGTCACTGAATCTAAATGTACTTTTTATATCAAAACTAGAGCTGGCTTTAACGGCATTCTAAATTTACTAAGCAAAGCTAAAAAGTCACAGGTTAGATAAGGGCATGAGCCCACACACATATAAAAAGTTGAAATATTTAGTTTTTGTATTTTATAGCTGTCAAGTTAAGAGAAATAAGGCACAGAGGGGAAAAAAATCTAGGGATTATGCAAATTACTGATCACACTTTCCTCACAACGCATTTTTTTTTTTTTCACCTAGGATAGGAAGCAATGCCTGAAACCCAGTGGGCTTCCTACTTCTCATTTCCTGATACTGTCTGGTATTTCTCGCACTTCTCTTACCATGGTTTGCTCCACCCTTTCTATCTCCACCATGGTCCCCAGACAGCAAGCAGACACTGACACGAGCAGACTGTGAAAACTTCAAGAGAATCAGTTCTGGTCAAGAATATGCTTGATTTTCCCTGTGAGAAACTATGCATTGTCTACCCTGTAAGTATGAAGTATTTCTCCCACATGCCATTTAAGGGGACCAGCCAATTAAACAATGACAATAAAAATAATAAGATGTCTGAGGTATTAAGTATAATAAATGCTAAGGAAAAAATATCTAAAGAAAAGCCCCGCTAACGAAGTGACACAGAGGGAACAGAGAATCTGTTCTTAGGACTTACTTATAAATCAGGACAGTGTGGAAACCAGAAGATGTGAGGTGACCTGTGGTGGGATGGGTGTGTGTAACTCAAAGCCATCCCACAAAGCCATGGGTGCACTGTGGAGCACAGGGCTTCTGGTGCCCAACCCATAGCTGCAGGGCAAATGCTCGCACAAGCTAACTAAGGTAACTGAAGCTCCATTCCTAAACTAAAGTGCAGAGGAATGTTTGATCTGAACAAACCCAACTTATTTAAATAAACTTTTCTGTTTGCCAGAATAAACTAAGAAGAGGACTACACAAACTTTTGATAAAGAAATAGAACAGCTGTTCGGCGGTGGAAAAATATTTTAAAACTCCAAAATTAAAAAGAAATCACAACAGGACATACAGTCTATAAATAAAAAAAATAAAAATAAAAAAACTGAAGGAGCTGTAACTTAGGACTTTAAAAAAAAGGCTTTTTCAGGAGGAGCAACTTCTAAGGCAACATTCGCCTGTCATGATTCACTGTGTAACATATAAGGGACAATGTGAACTTAGTAAGAAGGTTGGCTAAGCTGTGTGGCGTCCCTGCTAATCTCTCAGGAAGAAAGAACTCAAGGCCAGGCCCTACAACACATGATCCTGCAAAACACCATAAGAAGACTGCAGCAAGCCTTTCCTCTCACAAGATTTTGAAACTAAAAATCCAGTGTAATTTAAATGTTCAGGATATTAATCACAGAATTTTTCCTCATGTTATTCTTTATAATACTATAGATTTCTCATAAGTTTATTTCTCTTATTTTAGCTCAATGATTTTGAACTGAAACTATGTATTTTGAGCATAAATTGAGGCTGAGCAATGCTCAAATAACTGTTAATGTCTCAAACCAGTGAAATTTATGACCATCCGATATTAGCAACTGTTCACCAGCTATTATTCATAGCTTTGTTATTTGATTGAAATCTTAACCCTCAGTTTGAGTTACATTGTTAGCCATGAGGATGGTCAAAGTCAAATTAGCTAATAGTATTTACAAATGAATCACATATCTGAAAACTATATACTTCTGGCACATTAGAAACTAAAGAGCAGTAAGTAGAAACATGTCAGAAAATAAACAGCCCACACACTTTAAACCTGGCTTCTAGACCTGATTTGATTGTATAAGTCTATGAAGCTTTGGCAAGATTCACATTTCTGAGGCTCACTGTCTACAACTTAGCCTGACAACATGAGATTTTTAGGAGCAAAACCACGATGTGGAAACTATTTTAATTACATAAAATATAAAGTGGTAATATTAGTTAATCAAAAGTCTTCGTTTAGAAAAATAATACCATATGATCACTTTTGAAATTATCTTCATTAGGAAAAAAATATGTTTCAAAGTATATGGGATTGTACAGTAACATATGGATATACATACGTTAATTTCTCACTTTAATTACCTCAGTAAATGAAGCACTGAACAGCAGTATAGGAAAATACAGATTTGGAATAGGACACACAAAATCTTGCCTTTGCTGAATAACAGCTGTGTAACATAAGGCAACAGTTACTTAACCTCCCTAATATAACCTTCTCTATACAGTATAACACAAGGGTAAATGTTCAGATAGCATTAATTGATAAAAGTTAAAGCCACTGATAGCATAACCAAGAGCTTCTATACACCGAATACTTATAAGGTGGTATTTCTTCTCAATAATAAAATCATGTTGGGCAGAGTTCTTCCTCAAAGACCTACTGCTCTCTTTTAAGGCATCTTTGACTCAGGATGACATGAGGATTATGTTTATACAAGCACAACTGGTACATCAAATTGCAGTGACCTTAGAATCTACAAAAGCACACAAAGCTCCCTGTACCCAAACTAGAGATAAAATGAGAGGCAGTCACTTATCAAACACTATTATTAAGGCAGTTAATGTTCATTTAGGGAAGAAGAGACATTTTCTTTAGTGGCCACTGCTAAGTCCATGCTTCTGTAAATACTCCCTCATCAAGGCCTCTATAAAGGAGCGGAATAAAACTCATGGGGTCATCAAAATAAATAAGTGAAAAGACATGAAAGCAGGACTAGATGGGAAGAAGTGATCAGCAGGAGAGGAACAGAAGTGGGTAACTGGGGAGGAATGTGACAAAGGGGAAATAGACAAGATGACCTGAGAAAATAGCATTGGGGGGCAGACAGGGAGGGGGAGCGGAAAAGGGGAGTGGAGAAGAGAGCATGAGAGAACTGGATGATCAAGATGGGGAAAGGATAAAGAGGGGAAGCAAAGAAAGAGATATCTTGATTGAGGGAGCCAGTATGGGGCTAGTGTAAAACCTGGCACTAGAGAAATTCTCAGGAATCCACAAGGATGAACCCAGCTAAGACCCTAAGCAATAGTGAAGAAGGTGCCTGAATTGACCTTCCCCTGTAATCAGATTGACCTTAACTGTCATCATAGAACCTTCATCCAGCAACTGATAGAAGCAGATGCAGAGATCCACAGCTAAGCACTGGGCCAAGCTTCTAGAGACCAGTCCACGACAGAGAGGAGGCATAATACAAACAAAGGGTCAAGACCATGATAGGGACACACACAGAAACAGCTGACCTGGGCTAGTAGGAGCTCAATGACTCTGAACTGACAGTAGGGGAACCTGAATAGGACCAAACTAGGCTCTCTGAATGTGGGTGACAGATGTGTGGTTGGGGCAGTCTTTGTAGCCACTGGCAGTGAGACCAGGATTTATCCCTAGTGCTTGAACTGGCATTCTGGAGCCCATTCTTTTTGGAAGGATACCTTGTTCAGTCTAAATATAGAGGGGAGGGGCTTGGGCCTGCCTCAAAATGATGTCAGACTTTGTTGACTTCCCATGGGAAGCCTTCCTTACCCTCTCTGAGGAGTGGATGGGGGATGAGTAGGTGGAAGAAGGGGGAGCAGGAGGAGGAGAGGGAGTGGGACTGGGATAGGTATATAAAATGAAAAAAGATTGTTTTAAATAATAAATTGATCAAAAAATACATTATATCTGTATGAGAATGCCATAATGAAACCTACTGTTGAGAGTAATATAAGCTAATAAAAAGAAAAATTACTATTATTTGTTTTTTGGATTAGTTATTTCTTATAAGCAAAGTTAGATAATTAGCTAATAAGTTTTCAGTCATCCTAGAACAAGCCGACAGTCAGATATCTTGGTGGGATCAGGCCGGGAGTTCTCAAAAGAAACTGAAGGGCATACCAGGTTCTTGGACACAGTATAATTTTGGCTAGGCCTTTACTGTTAACTTCTTGACTCTTTCCTATATCCTGTATGGAAAAGATTTGCCAGGAAGCTGGATATAATTGCAAAGTATGCCTAGGAGTTAATTTTAGCAGTTTTAAAGTATATTTTAATGAATTTTATTATATAAAAACTTACAAATAAATAAAAACATCACATGCCAAAATTAACCAGACTCAAACTTAATGAACTTAAGTCAAAGGTAAGAGAATTAAAATGTTTTTTCAAGAGAGAAGTGTAATCAAAGGCAAAAAAAGTCAGAGTTCAGTCAAATTCTCCAAGAGAAGAAAATAGTGATGTTCAATGTATACTTACCCATAGATTTGATTAAGAATTATGTGATTCTAATCTTTTACGTGACAATCAAATTGAGAGAAAGCAGCACACATGGTATGCAAAGGAGAGGTAGAATACTTAGGTTCTTGTCCCTGCTTTGTAATTGAATGATTCTGAACAAGTCTCCCAATTCTCATTTTGTTTCTTAGTTTTTAATTCAGTTTTAATTCAGTCAATAAATGGCCAAGTCAGAAAAATGATATGACATTTTAGACATAGAGGTTAACAGAATGTGTTCTGAAGGTGAAGGAAGGGCCACAGAACAAGAAATACATGGCTTCTGGAATGGAAAAGGAAAAGAAACAGATCCTTCCATACAGGCTCCACTAGAATAAGGCTACAGACACTGTAGAGTAATGACAAATTTACATTTCATTATGCTACCAAGCTTGCAGTAATTTATCTCTGCATGTCTTAGATAGGGTTTCTGTTGCTGTGAAGAGACACCATGACCATAGCAACTTTTATAAAGGAAAACATTATATTGGGGCTGGCTTACAGTTTCAGAGGTTTAGTCCATTATCAACACAGCAGCATGGTGGCGTGCAGGCAGACATAATGCTGGAGAAGGAGCTGATAATTCTACATCTTGAACCATAGGCAACAGGAAGTAAGCTGTCTCACTGTGCATAGCTTGAGCATAGGAGACCTCCAACTCCACCCCCACAGTGACACTCTCTCTAACAAAGTCACACCTCCTGATAGTGCCACCCACTATAAGCTTATGGGGATCAATTACATTCAAACTACCACACTGCAGGAAGAGGAAACTGAAATACATGTATCCCGTGAGATTTTTCTACAACCCTCTTCTCTTCAAAGAACTGTAAAATGTCTCTTTGATTACCTGAGTGGAGGAAGCAGACATCATAAAAAACACCTTGGTAGATAACTTTGAAGAGGTTTCAAGGAAATGACTAATTGGAATCATTAACATCTGCAGCCTTTGACTTTACAGAAGCCCAAAACTAGATGTCCTGTCTCTTACTAGGTGATATTAGAAACTCAGACTTACTATGGATACTAAATAAACACCTCAAATAAACTCTAGGTAACAAACCTAACATGACCTTATGCTGTATGGAAAAAGAAACATGCTGGTATCTTCACTTTTCAGTTACCACTTTGTTATTTTTAAAATATGAATTCACCAATGCTGAAAAAGAATTAGCTGAGGAAGTATACAATGAAAACAAATGCAGATACAGAAGAGGGGACAACAGAAAAAGGAAACGCTGGCCCTGCACCTCGAGCAGCAATGGCAGAAGGGTCTCAGGAAGAGTACCTGCTCCAGCTCCTGCTCTGCATACTGGCGTCTGCTCAGCTCACACTCAGCGCCTTCCCTCAGCTCTCTCAGCCGACAGGCCTCCTCCTTGGCAAAGTTGATCTCATCCATCATTTTTCGCTCTAGATTTTGTTTTTCTACAGCAACAGTTCTGTTTTCTTCTTGTGCCTTTTCAAGTCTTAGAGAACAATAAATTTTTTAAAAATTCCTCATGTAAGTACCCAAAATTTCACTTTTATGAAAAAAAAACATTGCTTCAAAAACATATTTTTAAAAATTGGAATTTTTTAATAGCATTTCTATTGATCTTAAATTAGGGTATATATCAGGATATTTTCTGTTATTTTTGGGCTCAAAGGAGAAGGATTGCAGAAAATAGTTTCTGCAAAGATAATGTCCAAAACCACAAATATTTAAATATACTTGAAAATAAAATTCAACTACATCTACCTATATCTGATTTACTCCTCTGATCTTCTACACATTTATTCCCAAACTGTAATTCTCTGAAAATACAAAATACAATGAGCATTTATACCTAATATGAAAACTAATCTAAAATAAGTGGTTACATATACACTCAAGTAACATTTTTACAAGACATATTTGTTTATGTGTATAACAAGAATTAAGACTGATTTTAGTAATAAATTTTGTCTTATTGTTTTTTTCGAGACAAGTTCTTACGTAACACAAGCTGACCTTGAAGTCACTAGCTATCCAGTCAAAGATGTTCCTGAGAGGATCATTTTAGCTCTACCTCCTAAGTGCTAGGATTCCCAGTACAAGCCACCACACCCAGCTGAGGGAGATGATTTAGTTACCTCTCTTGTAAGTCCATGAGACTTTGCTCTGCAGTTTGTAAACTCTCTAGATCTTTCATCATTTTTGCAACATGTTCCTTTGATGTCTTATTTTGTGTGTATGCAAACCAACACCCACCAACACCAATTACTATGGAAATTGTGAGAATAAAATCCTTCATCCAGTTATGAGGTGGGCCTATGAAAACAAAAGCAGATAGTTAACTTTTGAGTGTAACATAATATAAATATACAGAAAAGCAGATATCCAAAGTAAACAAAATTAAATATCTCCTTTCCCCAGATACAAATTCTAGCCTTATGAAATCAAAACTCTTCTCCAAAAATCAGTATGCTTATTTCCCAACAATCAGTATACTAACTAGTATATGCAACCTGCAGAAAGGCAGTGAAAAATGCACATGGCCATATCAGGTCTCATTTTCTAATGCCATGTGGGGAGAAGTCCCCACAGAGAAAAGAGAGCCCATGACTTGCTTCCATTTCCTTCAGTCAGGCCAGGTCACTATCACTGAGACACAAATTGGATAACCAATCATTCACCAAAAGGCATTTCCCCAACCATGCAGTTATACAATAAGTTACACTCATCAGCAGTTCGTTACATTGGGGTATATACTACCCACCAACTAGACATGACAATATTTTGTTAACCCACAGGGAAGTTACTTGCACCTCAAGAGTAGAGGCCAGGAATATCCGAGCACCCAGCAACTGGCAGAAAGTCTCTTCTCCCGTACCCTGTACTAGTAACAAAGATTATTCACTACTCCACCATGTTCACAGCTGAGAAGTCCTGGGTGTACATAGCTAGCTAGTTAGTAATGTGGGTCAAGTGGCCATTTGTTTGAAATACAGGGGTTAGGATAAGGGAAAGTGCAGGACCTTATTCCCCAGTCTACCAAGGTATAATGTCAACCCAGTACTGCAATATAAGGCAAAAGGCACCAGGGCAGTCTTTAGGAATATAAAACATAAAAGAAAAACCTCTATTCAAATACCATTTTAACCTTGCCCTGACTGTCAATGCACACTAACTTTCTAGGGACTAATTAGAAGAGAGATAGATACATAATTTCTAATAAAATATAATGTAGTGTTTCAATGTTCCAAAGACATAGAATTTATAGTGGTAAATTACCTGTCCTGGCTAGTTTTATGTCATCTTGACACAAGTTAAGTCATCTGAAAGGAGGGAACCTCAATTAAGAAAATTCCTTCATAAGATCAGGCTATATACAAGTTTGTACGGCATTTACTTAATTAGCAATTGATGTGGGGTCATCTCTGGGCTGGTGATCCTGTGTTCCATAAGATAGCAAGATGAGCAAGCCATCTTGAAGATCATCATGAAGAGCAAGCCAGGAGCAGCCTGTGTGTCAGCTCATGGCTCCAGGTTCCTGCCCTGCTTGAGCTCCTGTCCTGACGTCCTTCAGTGATGAACAGTGATATGGAAGTATAAGCTGAATAAACACTGTCCTCCCCAGTTGCTTTGGTCATAGTGTTTCATCATAGCAATAGTAACCCTAACAAAGACATTGCCTAAACTAGTGTTCCTGCCACAAGACATTCTGCATGCTTCCTATGGAGAAACACAATAGAAATCGCAAGTTGCGAGCAAATCCACAGTGCATCCATGCCTGTCTCTATGCTAGAAAGTCTCAGTGCTCCGTATTTCCAGAGCACACACCCTCACCTGCAATGCAAAACATGCACTGCAGGAAGCTACAGTCTCAAAAGGGATTGCTTGGAGTTCTGCTTCCAACTGGGAGGTTCAGCTCAGGTTTCATTTCAACCATAGCCCTATTCTGACTCTGTCTGAAATATAATCTCCAGGAATAACAATACGCAGATTGACCAGTCCCAAATTCCAAAGCACTACACACTGGAAAGGAGTTAAGTGAAAACTTCTTTAAAATGTATCTTTTCATTTGACAACATGAATTATTGTACAAAATCTAGCTTGGGCATTACACTATGGTACTTGTTCAGTCAAATGATAATTCCAGGACAAAAAAAAATATTTAAAAGATAATACATAATTAATTTCTTAGCTGGTTTGCTTATTAAAATGCACATTTAACAATATTTTAAAAACAATTTGATAATACCATATTCTCTGGATTATAAAGCAGCCTGTTTCTATGTAGACAAAATTCTCTACCTTTAATTCCTGTTTTTACTAATCAGCTCCTGGGAAAAAGACAAAATTTCACACAAAGCAATTACATAGTGGATTCAGTCAAGGAGCAAAGTTCAGGGATCTTAGGCATTTTTAGCAGGGCTCTCTACTTCCTCTCTTGTAATGCCCACCAGCTCACAGAGGAATTCTGGCTATTTTACCAACTGCTCACTTAGCTCCAGCCAAAACAGAATCATGATCAAAGTCAGGTGATCACTGAACCATTTCCTTCAGCCTTCAATATAAGAGCCCATCTCAACCAGTATTAACAGGTACACTCCAGGAGCCAGGGAGAAATAACATTAGTTTCCTAATCTGTATTCTGTTAAAATGCCATACCCCCTGTATTAACTTTGTTATCCCTTTTAGGAGTCGGAAACAATAAAATAGAATTCTTCTAAAATATATACTGTTCAAACACTTCCTCCAAACACTTTCAAAAATTTTATTAAATAAATATATTAAACTTACCTTCTGGGGAAAAATATTCCTGTCCAACTTAAAATTTTTAAATAAAAATATGACATAACAGTTTCTTACACATTCCTTTTCAGATCAATCAAATAACAGTGTCCCCCTGGTGTTCCTACTAGACTTGTGTTCCTTCTAAAGCTTTGAGGGATCTTTGCGTCTGATCTATGTCCTCAAAGTTCTTTTTCTGGTGGCTAGTGACACTCTTAGGACTTTACTACTGGTGCTATCAGAACAGTGAAGCTGCCATATTCTTAAGGGTGAACATCCAGCTGAGTTAACATCAACAGTCACAATACCCCAACATTTTTAATATAGAAATCTAAATTATCACCTAGCCAGTTTAACAGATTTTTCATTAGTAATTACTTTTGAAAATTCACATTTTTATAGCAGAAAAGTTCATCCTATGAGCAAGGGGCTCTTCTTGTTGATCTGCGCTTCTCCATTCTGTTTTCTTCATCAACACAGGGACGGGCAGACTACACTACTGGATCACAGTGAATGAAAGAGATACTAACGTGTCAAAGGCCCAAACAAAACCACATCTAGTGCTTTGAGTTGAAGTTTCTGTCGGTGACTCCGGTCGCTGATTTTCAACTGGGAAATCATAAATGAAGTTTCATGAACTGCTATCCTGTACATAGAAAAAAGTTCATGTTATAAACAAAGTATTTCTAATATACAAATCTCAATACACAAGCAACAATATTTACTACTTCACATGTTGGTGATCATTGTTAAGAGTTCATTTGTATCAAGAGTTCATTTGTATGACGCACACCACACTTCAGAAACCCTTTCATAAAACTTCGCTACTGGAAGCCTTTCTAGGGCTGATAATTGTGTTCTTATAATGATAAGCTGCTGTTTTCTAAAGTTACTTACTATTATAACTTACTATAACTGAGAAATTTATGAAACAAAGTATTTCATAATAATTACCTAATGGTGGCATTTTCACAAAGAAAAATAAAATAGTTATGGGACTTATTAAACATTTTTAGCATATGTTAAATAGTTCTTACTTTAAGAGCTTTTAGTCAGCAGTAGTTGAAAAAGCTCCCACTATACTCTTAGTGTTTAACTTCTTAAGCTGAAAACCTAAATGGAAGATAAGAAGCCTTCTTGGGTAGGTTGAGGGGTGGAGGGATTCATGTAATATGCAATTCTTCGATGAATTAGGAGGAACAGGCAAGAGATACTTGAACTTAGAAATAAAGAAAGTGGAGAAGGAAAAGTTTAAATCATGTATACTCAGAAGCTTGGGAGCCAGCTAACCTGATATGTGCAAACACTGTTAACAAAGAGGCCCTGTCTCAAGCAAGGTGGAAGTTACAGAAGACCATCCAAGGTCATTCTCTAACTTCTACACACATGTTGTGCCATCTATATGTACCCACACTCACGCCACAAATACACATATATATTATATATGAACGCACAAAGAATAAAACTATAACAAGAAAATAGATAAAATACTTAAAACAGATACATTAATATTTCTTTTATGCCATCAGCCCCAGAATTATCTTGTAGGTTCAGAACTGAAAATTGGCAACAGCTAAAACACACTTCTCAATGCAAGGAAAAGTAATCTGGGTACCACTGACCTGGGAAGTGTTGTTCCTTTCACATTATTATCCCTAAAATTCTTCTCGTATTGTGGGAGTTCAACAAATTCTACCAACCACTGCAGGGTATCCTCAACTGTCCAATTATGAACTGGAAGACAGAAAGGAGGTATATTTTAAAGCACATTGTTCTCAAAATTAAAAGCTGTACACAGCTATATAACTTTAGGGAATGTAAAGACGGAATATTAAATTTTCAATGAAATTCAATAAACAGTACTAAAATAATATCTAGCACTCTATGGTAAACTGAAAATAATGAGACCTATACTTGTTTTTCTAAAGACAGACTCTAAAACAGAAGAAACATATAAAAACAATTAAGGCAAATAGCAGTAAAACTAGTTCTAAAATAAGCATCAACACAGAGTTTTTAAAGGATGAAATAATCCATTTTGCTGGGTATAGATAACTTAACAGATATAGATTTGACTGACACGTCACCTAGTCCATTAATGTATATAATACTATGAAATGCCCTCAGAAAGTCAGGTCCCACCTAAGCATCACGACATATGGTTGTGAACAAGATGTGGGAAACCTTTGCCATTGTGGAGCTAAGAGCCTTGGGCAAGGACTCAGGTAGGACAACTTAGAAATAAAGAAAGGATAGGGAGGAAAAGTTTAAATTATGTTACTCATTAAGGAAAATGGGGAAAGAAGAAATCTCATGTGTATACACACAGGAAAAGGGTGGGGTAATAAGCCCTCTGAGTTGATTATATCAACTAAAACCTAATATAAAAACTCATAGAAATTCTGAAGATCTGAAAGAAAATACCCCAACCAGAGAGAAATGCTAACAGAGTCCTACTGGGGGTTTTTTTGTTTGTTTTGTTTTGCTTTTTTTGTTGTTTTTTGGGGGGGGTTGTTTTGTTTTGTTGTGTCGTGTTTTTTTGAGAAATAGGCAGAAAGTCAGACCACATTAGGAAACACTGGATTTGAACACAGACGGACTAACCATAAACTCTGCACTTCACTGAAAATAACAACTAAGAGCAAAGATATAAAGAAGACAAAAGCCCTAAGAATCAAGTCAGAGGCTTTTGTCTGCTTGCAGTGTGTAATGAGCTTTAATGAGTTTATCCAAGGGAAGGCTGGGAGTATGCTTGAGAAATGGCGAGTTGCATATTATGTGCATTTAATCTGAGGATTTGGGAAAACAAAGTGTTTATAGACCACACAAGAGGGCAAATGGGGCTAAAGGCAACAAGGAAGCACTGAGCACAGTGCGGTGAATCCATCTGTGCACAAACGGATCTAGGAAAAGAGCATTCTCATAAATTATAGAAAATTCTGAATTCACATTTGCATGCAATGTTTTCACAGTCTGCCTTTTTCAATGTGTTCTTTAAAGAAAAAAAACTTGAACAAATCATATTTAACAATAAAATCTTTATTTTAAAACTGTATTGCTAAGTGGTGATTTTATGCTGAGACACAGCTGTTTCTCATGTTCTCATTGTGATAGAGCTCTGTCATAATGCCTGTATATGGGACTGAGGCTGCTGGATCCATGGAGCCAAACAAAGGAGGCCACCAGCCAAGGAGCTCAGGCCTGGATGCCTCCCGCGGAATCTAATCCAGTCAGAGTAGGCCTTTACACGAAGACTTCTTCCTTCTGAGATGACTGCATGGAGAACTGCCCCATCTGCCTGCCAGGAAACCCACAGCACAGCTGCACTGCACACACCCACACAAACTCTAAGCCAGGAAAACAAGAGAAGATTCTCTCTGACTTTTAGTTTTTCAATAGTAAAAGCCCTGATCTAAGCGATCCAGCACATCAAATACTGCCCCAATTTCCAAGGAGGCCAGATTCAAAGGAAGAAGAAAATCCTCTGAGGGGACGAAACTGTCCAATTCTACTACTACTCTACCTGAGTAGACAGTTGTGCTGATTCTAAAGTAGCTTTGTTTGTAGAACTAGTTTTCTTTTGAATGTATCTTTAAAACAAGACAAAATTACTCAAGAGAGAAAACTTACTTTGCCACTTGCTCTCTGGGTTCCTTGAAGATGCTTTGCAAATACCCTTTCATTTCTTCTCATGACCAGGACTTGGGTCTTGTATTAGCTTACTCTGCTCCAAAGACTGCCTGTCTTTCCAGTTTTCGGGGCAACTCATTCTCATCCATTTTATCCTATCATTGCCTGTATTTTGTTGAACCTTTCTTAGCTAAAACTTCACCTCTTCATAAATCATTATGGACTTCTTTTTTCACAGAATTTAATAAATTACAATTATCTATAAGAAAAGGAATTCTTTCAATATCTGTTTATTTCACTAAAGGATAGGTAGGTTCCTCGCTGATCACTCTATGCTAAGCATTCATCCACCAATGATTTGTAAGGTGCTACTTAAAATGAAGTAGATCAGACTTAAAGGATAAGGACTATAAAATCTATCCATATTTCAATGAGGAAACTAAAAAAGCTTGTTTGCATAAGAAATCCTCAATGTCAAAGAGCTATCTGAGGCTACCCTGCCCCTTCTGTCCACCTGTAACTGAGCTTCTTCATGCTACACAGCTGAACTGTACCTACACCAGAGGGCAAGCAGTGAAAGGCACATTTTTAAAAATGCACTTAGCAATTTATTCAGAGTTTGGAACTGCTAACAAAATATTTTTGCTCTAAATTGTAGCAAATGCTATAGATTGATGTTTCAGTGATTTCCGCGACTAGTTCCAACACTAATGAGAGCTCTGGGATGGGAAGAGACCTATCAGGCTGCACTGGACAGTCAGTCACAGCACCTTTACAGATGGACTCTTTAGCTCAGGTTCATTTTTTTAAATAAGTACAGCAACAAATTGATCTATGCTAGCTTTAAAATCCTGTCTTCACAACTCCATTATAACAAAAGAGGGCTGCTATCTGAAGCACCACAAATTAAATAGTCAACTGAGAACACTTCATTACAGAATGCTGACAGGGAAAATCAAATTCTAAAAGCAGCCAGGACACCAATAAAAACTGCTGCTAACATTAACTATTTACTACATACCAGATTTATGAATGATATTTCACAAAGACACTGAAGCAACTCAGCAGTGAGCACTTTTATTCCCATGCTGAGTCTATGCTTTTCTCAAAGTAAATAAAACTCTTAATTAGCAATAACAAATTAGTAAATGGCCACAATAGGTTTCAGACAAAGCTGTTTCAAGAACTGCTGACCACTATGCAGCAGTATCACCTATGACCCTTTTTTAATGTGCTGTGTGACCCTGTATATCCCCTGCCACTCTTCAACTCAGAACAGCTTTCCTTTCTTCCGTCTGCCTGCCTTGTCCTTACCTCGTAATGACTCAAATTAGGCAATCCTTCCTGCAGACATTTTGCCTATCACCCACTCCAGTATTATAGCTATCGTCCTTTGTGTTCTTTCGTCATCTATACACGCATCTACCATGAGACCAAATAAACGCACATGCGATTGTTCTCAACCAACTTGCTCTCTGGATGAGGAGTGTTAAGAGAACAGGAACTTACTCTTAAAAAAAAAAGTGTTTGCATTATTTATTGCATGTGTGTGTTTTAGATGTGGAGGTAAAAAAGAATTTTCAAGAGTCAGTTATCTCCTTCTACTTGTGGGTTTCAGGAATAAAAGTCAGACTTGGCAGCAATTCCCTTTACTTGCTTTGCCAACTCGTCAGCCCAAGAACTTATTCTTTTATTAAAATGCCATTCCTTTGATTAAGGGATTTTTGTTTTAATATACACCTACTCATCCATTTTTACTTGTACCCTATAGTGACAGTGAAATGTAGCTGTTATCTCTAGATTCTGTCACAAGACACCTGGCCAAGCAACCAAGCATATGGTCACACACGTCTATCAACTGACACGTGTGAAACATGCTCATAACTGTTGTAGAATATTATTCAATTATGCAAAGGAGTGGTACATTTTGTTTATGATGTAGACTATAACTGTAAAGTTGAGTTACTTTTGTTTCTGCTGCATTTGTTTAACTGTGAAAAGATGTGCTGTATTTGTTTTACCTTGCCTGCCTAAGGGCAAATAAAGAGCTAAACGGCCAATAGCTAGGCAGAGAAAGGGCAGGTGGGACTACAGACAGACAGAATAAATAGAAGGAGAAAACTAGGCTCAAAAAAGAAGAAGAATGAGAAAAGGAGGAGAGAATAAGGAATAAGGGGGATGCCCAGAGCAAGAAGCCAGGCAAAGGTCTGTCAGACATAGAGAAGCAGTGAAAGTACAATATATGGAAAAAAGGTAGTAAAGCCCAAGGCTAAGGTAGATAAAGAGAACCAGGTTAATTTAAAAGAGCTAGCCAGAAATGTGCCTAAGCTAGGCTGAGCATTCAAAACTAATAATGGGAGTTGGTTGGTGACCGAAAAGAAAAAGCCTGGTACTACCATCATAAGATATTTTTTTCTTAGAAATTTAGTAATGATAGCATATAAGTACAAAATGTTATCAACAAGTAATACTACAAGTGGTTGCCTCAGTGGACTTCTGGCTCTCCATGAGATGTCAGTTACACATGGGGTTACTGAAGTTGGAGGTGGCAATAGTGATGTGAATTTTTCATGATAGAAAATATGACTGTGTGTGGGAAGAAACACTCTAACAACATGAAAATAATATTTCAAAGAGTGAATACATTTTATACAACTTTTTCTTCCTTTTTTTCCTTGGTGACACCGTGTTTCTCTTCCAGAACTTGCTATGTAGATCACGTCGGCCTCATACTCACAGAGATCCACGTCCTGAGTACTGGGATTAAAGGTGTGTACCACCACACTTGATGAGGGTTCTAAAGAGCAAGAGTGGTAGGAAAAAGGATGCTGAGTAGAACCAGAACTTCAGGAAAGATGGAGCTCTAGTATAAGATGTGGAAGGGCAGACAAATGAAGATTAAAAACAACTCTTTTTTGCTAACCGCACAATTTCTATAGTTCCTCAGCTTTAAAAAAGAAAACAACTGTGTTGCTGCTGTCCCCTTAAACAGGCCTAAAAGAAAACGCTTTCTAAAAGTGCAAGGTTCAAGATATGAGAATTAAGAGATAGGAAGTGGTAGATACATTCACCAACAGCGGCCACATTGCCCCAACTGAAACAGC